AGGAATCACTGATCTCTACAATGATATGATTTTATTCACGTTGAGTCTGAGGCCTATGAAGCCCTCGACAGCCTCCCCTTCATCAAGAGTATGAGGCCTATAGAGCCCTCGAATAGTCTCCCCTTCATCGAGAGTCTGAGGCCTATGGAGCCCTCGAATAGTCTCCCCTTCATCGAGAGTCTGAGGCCTATGGAGCCCTCAAGCAGCCTCCCCTTCATTGAAAGTCTGAGGCCTATGGAGCCCTCAAACAGCCTCCCCCTTAATCGAGGCTCGACTCCTTTCTCTCGAGCCCCCGAACAAATTACATCTTTTGTTTGACACATGAATCACTTTTGACATGGCTAAATTAAGGGCATGACTATGATACCATGTTAGGAATCACGGATCTCCACAATGGTATGATATTGTCCACTTTTAGCAATAGCTCTCGTGGCTTTATTTTGGGCTTCCCAAAAAGCCTCATATCAATGGAGATGTATTCCCTAACTCATGATCATTCCCTTAATTAGCCAACGTGGCACTCCATCCCAATCATCCTCAACAAATATAATTTAAATGAGTTCTTGATCGATGTTTTTCAGGGTGGACGATGCGTAATTGTAGGTTATGAAGGGCAAGCTGAAATTGTATTTCAAATCAATCTCAATCCCAAGTGGTTTTTCTTTAATTTGAGTTATGGAGCATATAGGATATGGTTTTACAAGACAATTGATTCTCGTTGTGTAATCTTTATCCCAGCCTTTGGATTGAATGCCCAATATGTGATCTACTTTTCCTAAATACTCATATCAAAGGATGAAGAATGATTTTCTCAATTATGAACAAAACTTACAAAAGTTCTTCGTAAGCAATGGCTCGTTCGACAATCGTTTTGTGGACTCAGTTTTGGCCGTTTTGAATTGTTTTTCAAGCCGTTTTAAGAGACTTGGTATTGAAATCGGGTGTAACGACTCGTTTTTTTAGAAATTCGAGCCAAAGATGGCTACTAATTGAGGCAACATTTTAAACACGACATGATAATTTGAATCAATTGGAAAAGGAGACGTTGGGGAACATGTTTCAAAACATTATATTAAAACATGAACAAGAAAATCATTGAGTTAGAAATCAAGACTTTAAGTTCAATGACATTAAGTTCTTTCTAGCCCTTTTAAGCTCATTGAGTTCTAAACCCTACCCACTCCTATTCCACAGGTGAGCCCCTCTCAGGGTATTCATCACATTTCCCAAAAGAGTTCAATTGGTGACGTTTTTTGTATTTTGAACGAGCACTAATGGGGCGTGCAGAAAAAGTTCTCTCTCCTTTTGGCCTCTTACTACTATACTTGCTAGAGGCTAACATTAAGTTCAAGTAGGGGCATTTTCGTAATTTATCATACTACTTAATTTAATTGTCAACCGACAAAATAACGGAGGCTCTCAACCCTAGTTTGGCTTTTTATGACACGTGCTCCAGATCTGCTCTCACCCTTGATTAGCAATAATATGTTGTATGTTGTGATGGTTGAGTCGGTCTAAGGTGCCAGATTAAGGTTTTGGTCTAAAAGGGCGTGGGTTTAAATCTCACTCTCAATAATGATGTTAGAATGGTCAAGTAGGGCATTTTTGTCATTTATCATAATATACTTAATTGAATTGTCAATCGACAATATATCAGAGGCTGATAAGATAAGGAATCAATACAAGGAGAATAAGATTCGGATTACCTTGTTGATCGAATATCTCAAGACAAGAACATTGTTTGAGATTTGAATCACTCCACAAGCAAGATCGATCATGTCTAGCTTGAATGATTCTTGTTGATCAAATATCTCAAGGCAAGAACACTTGCTTGAGATTCGAATCACTCCACAAGCAAGATTGATCATGTCGAGCTTGAATGATTTGAATGATTCTACATGCAATCTAAACTACATAGAATTGCAAAGAAACTTAGCCGAGATTGATCATGTCGAGTTTGAATGATTCTACATGCAATCTAAACTATATAGAATTGCAAAGAAACTTAGCCATCGGCTAAAAAAAAGCACAAATGCTTCTTTACTATATTTTCCAAGTCTACCTTACAAATACAACATACATGGCTTTATATAACCTCAAAATGAAATTATTGAAGGCATTCCAAAAGTTAGTAACATTCATATTTAATGACCATAATTAGCCATTATGTAAATGTAACCTAAAGTAAATAAAATGTCATAAAATACAATAACTCTAAATTACTCTAAATTGTAACCCACCCAAAATTTATAACCATCAAACTTCATTCCTCTTCAATGTGACACGAATTGCAACCTCTTTTGATAATTTTGACATCATTTTCTTCACATCTTCATTGAAGTATATTGTATGAATGATGTCTCTTGGTTCATATCAGAGGCTCTCTATGGCACGTGCTCCAGATCTGCTCTCAGCCTTGATTAGCAAATATATGTTGAGATGGTCGAGTTGGTCTAAGGTGCCAGATTAAGGTTCTGGTCCGAAAGGGATGGCCGAGTTGGTCTAAGGTAGCAAATATATGTTGAGATGGCCGAGTTGGTCTAAGGAGTTCTGGTCCGAAAGGGATGGCCGAGTTGGTCTAAGGTAGCAAATATATGTTGAGATGGCCGAGTTGGTCTAAGGAGTTCTGGTCCGAAAGGGATGGCCGAGTTGGTCTAAGGTAGCAAATATATGTTGAGATGGCCGAGTTGGTCTAAGGTGCCAGATTAAGGTTCTGGTCCGAAAGGGATGGCCGAGTTGGTCTAAGGTAGCAAATATATGTTGAGATGGCCGAGTTGGTCTAAGGAGTTCTGGTCCGAAAGGGATGGCCGAAGGTAGCAAATATATGTTGAGATGGCCGAGTTGGTCTAAGGAGTTCTGGTCCGAAAGGGATGGCCGAGTTGGTCTAAGGTAGCAAATATATGTTGAGATGGTCTAAGGAGTTCTGGTCCGAAAGGGATGGCCGAGTTGGTCTAAGGTAGCAAATATATGTTGAGATGGCCGAGTTGGTCTAAGGTGCCAGATTAAGGTTCTGGTCCGAAAGGGATGGCCGAGTTGGTCTAAGGTAGCAAATATATGTTGAGATGGCCGAGTTGGTCTAAGGAGTTCTGGTCCGAAAGGGATGGCCGAAGGTAGCAAATATATGTTGAGATGGCCGAGTTGGTCTAAGGAGTTCTGGTCCGAAAGGGATGGCCGAGTTGGTCTAAGGTAGCAAATATATGTTGAGATGGTCTAAGGAGTTCTGGTCCGAAAGGGATGGCCGAGTTGGTCTAAGGTAGCAAATATATGTTGAGATGGTCGAGTTGGTCTAAGACGCCAGATTAAGGTTCTGGTCCGAAAGGGCGGTTCTGGTTTGAAAATGTTGAGATGGCCGAGTTGGTCTAAGGCGCCAGATTAAGGTTCTGGTCCGAAAGGGCGGTTCTGGTCCAAAAGGGCGTGGGTTCAAATCCCACTCTCAACAATGACGTTAGAATGGTCAAGTAGGGCATATTTGTCATTTATCATAATATACTTAATTGAGATCTATACTTACTTGAATTGTCAATCGACAATATATCAAAGGCTCTCTATGGAACGTGCTCCAGATCTCAGCCTTGATTAGCAAATATATGTTGAAATGGTCGAGTTGGGCGCCAGATTAAGGTTTTGGTCCGAAAGAGTGCGGGTTCAAAATCTCACTCTCAACAATGATGTTAGAATGTCAAGTAGGGCATTTTTGTCATTTATCATAATATACTTTATTGAATTGTAAACCGACAAAATATCAGAGGCTCTCTATGGCACGTGCTCCTGCCCTCTTTGATTAGTTATATGTTGATTAAGGTGTGGGTTCAAATCCCACTCTCTATGGCACGTGCTCCTGCCCTCCTTGATTAGTTATATGTTGATTAAGGTTCTGGTTCGAGAGGCTCTCTATGGCGCTTTTTATGGCACGTGCTCCTGCCCTCCTTGATTAGTTATATGTTGATTAAGGTTCTGGTTCGAAAGGGTGTGGGTTCAAATCCCACTCTCTCAACAATGATGTTTGAATGTTAAGTAGAGATTTTTCATCATTTATCCTAATATACTTAATTGAATTGTCAACCGATAAAATCGGAAGCTGAACTGCTCAACCTTGATTAGCAATTATATGTTGAGTCCTAAGTAGGGCCGGACAAAATAATTTGGCTCTCTATAGCCCGCCAGATTAAAGTTTTGGTCCGAAAGGGCCCACTCTTAACAATGTTTTCATCACATTTCCTAAAAGACTCTCTATAGCCCGCCAGATTAAAGTTTTGGTCTGAAAGAGCCCACTCTCAACAATGTTTTCATCACATTTCCTAAAAGAGTATAATTGGTGATGTTTTTGTCATAAATCACATTTAGAGTAACCCCATTTTAAGAAGGGCATGGGATACTTAGTAGTTGGGAAGCACATGAAGTTATATTGATGTTCGGTCGATGGATGTCATATTGTCCAATAAATAATGTTCTATCCATTAACCTTCCTAAATGATGTTCAGTCTAATAGATGTCATATTGTCCTAAAAAAATTTATCACATAACGTTTCAACCCAAGATATTGGTCATTCAATGTTGTGGCTATGCAAACTAACGAAGTCCAAAGAACATAAAAGCTAGTTCATCTCAAAGATGAGATACCCTATCTAGTAGATCCGTTAGAACTTGGTGAATAACTTTCAGAACCCGTTTAAGTTTGTGACAAGTAAAACACCCACTTGAAACATTGAAGTCTCCCCAAAAGCTTAGATAACCAAGAGAAAAGTTTGTGGTAATTTATTAGTAGTTGGATGTGATGATACTCTACAAGTAAGTTGCTTGTAGAGCACTGTACTCACCCGTTCTACATTTTTTTAGGTGTTTGATGACTACCGATCAAGGTGGAGAACATTCGAGACGTACGCGGTCACAAAGAAATTCGTCTCGGGTGTCAATCTTTTATTGGTTTAAAATTGTGAATAGATTTTAAAAAAATAGGATTCTTGATTTGCTTTAAAAGCCATTTGTTTGATTTTTGAAGAATGCTAAAATTGAAAGGCTTTGAACATTCTCACATTACCACCACCATGTTCTTGGTCAAGCTTGAGGATGTTACTCCTCTTTCAGACGCAGTCTTTCTGTTTAATCAATTGTCTCTTGAAGCCGACGTGAAATTCACTCATAACATGTTCTCATTAACCGTCTCGAACGCTTCGATTCGGTTCATCATAAAGCTCGATATTTGGGACGAGCTTTTCGCAGAATATTCAGTCGATCCGAATCAGTGTTGGAGAATTTCCCTCTCAACTTTCCAAAAATCTTTGTGGGATGGCGGAAGTTACTCTTCCATGACCTTCCTTATGCATGAAACTAGAAGCCGCATGGTGCTTGAGTTTCATAATTCAGGTAATATCTTGATATCATTCTTGTTTCATCTTGATATCATTCTGCATTGATCTTGATATCATTCTTGGTTGATCATGATATCAATCTTGGAATATCAGCTTCTCCCAATGCCCCAAGTTGGCATCGAGAATTGACATTGTTGCCTTCGGAAGAAGTGGATATTGGCGAAGTTGAAAGTGAAAAAAATTTCATAATTGAGGCAGAAGATTTCAGGCACATTATAAGAGAAGTATCTTCATTCCCAAATGATCCAAGTAATCAAACTCTTTGTTTTTGTTCATATTTACTTCAAAGAAAGTGGGTTTGTGGTTTAATTGATAAAGTTGTCTGTTTCTCACAGTTCGTGTTACTCTAACCCATTTACAAGTCAAGTTTTCTGTTGCATCCAAGGAAATTATTCTTACTAAACAGGTAATGACTGTTCATATTTCGTTCGGAGTTATTTTTGGGTAACTTTTTTCATTTCTCGAACGAACCCTTTTGGGATGTTCAGTAGAAAAACACTCTGAAGTGGTTTTGTTCTCGAGCCATTTTTTAGGTCATTTTCTATAGCGACTTTTTTCATTTCTCAAACGAACCTTTTTGAGACGTTCAGTAGAAAAACACATTGGAGTGTTCTCGGGCCATTTTTTGGGTCGTTTTCTATAGCGATTTTTTTCATTTTTGGAACGAGCTCTATTGGAACGTTCAAAAAAGTTTACTTGTCGTTTTTTATTTCTTACTATATTCATTAGAAAGGAAACTATTCTTACTAGAGACATCGCGAATGTTCAAATTCCGTTTTCTGAGTTATTTTTGGGTCAACTTTTTTCATTTCTCAAACGAACCCTTTTGGGACATTCAGTAGAAAAACACTTTGAAGTAGTTTTGTTCTCGGGTCATTTTCTATAGCGACTTTTCATTTCTGGAACGAGCTCTATTGGAACGTTCAAAAAAGTTCCCTTGTCGTTTTTGATTTTTTACTATATTCATTAGAAAGGAAACTATTCTTACTAGAGAGGTCACGAATGTTCAAATTCTGTTTCCCGAGTTATTTTTGGATCAACTTTTTTTATTTCTCAAAGGAACTCTATTGGGACGTTCAGTAGAAAAACACCTTGAAGTGGTTTTGTTCTCGGGCCATTTTTTAGGCCATTTTCTATAGCAACTTTTTTCATTTCTCAAACTAATCCTTTTGGGACGTTCAATAGAAAAACACATTGAAATGGTTTTGTTCTCGGGCCATTTTTTGGGTCGTTTTCTATAGCGATTTTTCATTTTCGGAACGAGCTCTATTGGAACGTTCAAAAAAGTGTTTTTTATTTCTTACTATATTCATTAGAAAGGAAACTATTCTTACTAGAGACGTCACGAGGTCAACTTTTTTCATTTCTTAAAGGAACCCTATTGGGACGTTCAATAGAAAAATACCTTGAAGTGGTTTTGTTCTCGGGTCATGTTCTATAGCAATTTTTTTCATTTCTCAAACGAACCCTATTGGGACATTCAGTAGAAAAACACCTTGAAGTGGTTTTGTTCTCGGGCCCTTTTTTGGGTCATTTTCTATAGCTATTTTTTTCATTTCTCGAACCAGCTCTATTGGAATGTTCAAAAAAGTTTCCTTGTCCTTTTTCATTTCTTGCTATATTCATTAGATATAATATCAACAAATGCATCCAAGGAAACTATTCTTACTAGAGAGGTAACAAATATTCAAATTTCATCCGGAGTTATTTTTTTATCAACTTTTTTCATTTCTCAAATAGAACCCTATTGGGACGTTCAATAGAAAAACACCTTGAAGTGGGTTTATTCTCGGGCCATTTTTTAGGTCATTTTCTATAACGATATTTTTCATTTCTGGAATGAGCACTATTAGAACGTTCAAAAAAATTTCTTTGTCGTTTTTGATTTCTTACTATATTCATTAGAAAGGAAACTATTCTTACTAGAGAGGTCATGAATGTTCAAATTCCATTTCCCGAATTACTTTTTGGTCAACTTTTTTTCATTTCTCAAATGAACCCTATTGAGACATTCAATAGAAAAACACCTTGAAATGGTTTTGTTCTCAGGCCATTTCTCGAAGGAGCTCTAGGAACGTTCAAAAAAAGTTGTTTAACAAGCTAATATGATTTTGTTGATGTTGTGCAGGCTCGAAAAATTCAAATTGCAGGGTATGAAGAAGGAGATACAGATCAATTCCGAATCAGTCTACATCCGATGATGTTTTTCCTTAGATTGTCATATCAATCGGAAACAGCATGGTTTTGTAAGACGATGGATGGTTCCCATACTATAATCTCTATACCAGCCTCTCACTTTAATCTTGAATATGTGGTCTATTTTCCCCATGATAGGGAAAATATAATATACACAAATGGAGTATCCTAGTCTATCATCAATCTTTTCTTTTTCTTATTTGCTACTTTTGTCATATATTCAACACTCGTTGATAAAGAAAAATTGAATGTAACTCAACGACATATTGAAGGTCGAGATAATATGGTTGGGGTGGTAGTGTCGAGGCACTACGAACATCTCTAAAACGACCCACGTAAACAATTGACATAACTCAACTAGTTATAATCATTAAGGTTTTGGGAACGAAGAGGTTTTTTTTTTTTAATTCTTGAATCAAATTCAACTTTCAATTCAATTATTTACGGTTATTCTCCACCACCACTGTTGGTTTTGATGCTGCAGGAGCAATCGTCATGGCTGCTGCAAGCGGGGACGATTGATTACTCTTCGGCTCCACCCTATTGACCTCCAAATCACCTTTTGTTATATTCTGTACATACAACCTCACATTCTCCAATATAATCGTTTTCCTCTTGGCCAACATAGACTCTCTCATTTTCTTCCCAATCAACCTTTCATCCTTCATAGAAATCCTAACCTCAGAATCCTCATGAGTGTTCCCATCGAAAATATACAGAATCTCGAGAAACCTATCAATCTTCTGCAGAGATTTACCTTTGGAATCTAGGCGCCGCACTAGCCTCTTCGCCAACCAAGTTGCCGCCGCCCTTCTCGCCAAAATTGGCTCCTTCACCTAATGTGGCGACTCTTCCGACTGCCCTTCTCGCCAAAATTGGCCCCTTCGCCCAATGTGGTGACTCTTCCGGCTTCAACATTGTCTTTGTCCCTTGCTCTAGGTTTCCCCCTTCTACTTCTTAGGTTAAGACATATTCTCGCCGAAGCCAAGGTAGTATCGTCGTTGAGCGATGATCCCTCTACAGCTTTTTATGGCCAAGAAAGTGTTTCTCTATACCTCCTCCGAACCAGGTTGTCGACATTTTCACGAAAATTGTTTCTCGACCTCTCTTTGAATTTTTCAGATCCAAGCTTCACGTTCATTCAAATCCGACGCTCAGCTTGTGGAGGGGTGTTAAGGATATTCAATACTAAATTATAGTTTACCATATATATCATATTTGATATTTTATTATAAGGCAAATATCTACTTACATAGGTATCTTTCTATATATTGTTCTTTTCATTTATTACTATTTTCATATTCTTGTAATTTATTTTATTATAAATAAATAACTTTCACACACCATTTAGATATGATGGTTTCAGCAAATATTTTAATCGATAAATGTTTTAGGAAAAAAAATTAATATTTCAGGAATAAAGATACTTATCGAGTTTAAGAATAAATCTAGGTCACAATGTGGGGTCTTTAGTGTAAATATCTCTCCACCCCCTAAGTTATTCCTAAATAATCTCAAGCAAAATAAAGTGTAATAGTTTCTAGACAGTGTCTTGTAAACTCTTCTTGATTAGTTTTAATACAAGTGTGAGTTTCCCAAGAGTAGGTTGCCTGATCTTTTGAAATTCTTAATACGCTCTATGGTTGTAGCTTTACCTAATCTTCCACATCAAAAACAAATTCTTGAGATTATACGTGAATGAGTTTTTTCATGTTGTGAGTAGCTCGTGACTCTACAAGTTTTGTGTTGAAAAGCTTGCTTGGTATTACTAAGGTACTACTAACACGATGGATGAACTCGAAGTCGTCGGAGAAATCAAGAAACTCAACACCAACAACTACATGATGTGGGAAACATGCATAATGTCCTAACTATGCCACCAGAGTTGTTTCCTAATGGCACAAACAAGACAATGTTTGCCTTGAAACCACAGTTGAAGAAGAAGAAGAGATGTTGGAGCACATTTAAGATGACCAAAAGAAGCATGGAACACGTTCGTGAAGAGCATATTTTGCTTTTCTTAAAAAAAGAACGATACGAGGTTACAACTTCTAGAGAATGATTGCTTAGTACTTCTATAGAGTCCAAGTTGATCTATTGGAAGACTACTGAACTAAATCTTAAGTTCATAATTGGAGAAGCTCAAATGAAGAGGATCATCATCTATATATTGCGACTAGAATATAGAAGGTTCGTTTGCTATACAAGAATGACATGCCAAACTGTTAGGTTATGGAGCCTGCTACTTATTTATAACTTGGTCAACGGTTATATCCTGTAAAACTATATTTGGTAAAGCTATATCCGGTAAAGCTATGTATGGTAAATAGCTATATATAGTAAATGGTTAAATTGGGTAAAGCTATATATAGTAAATAGTTATATATAGTAGATGGTTAAATCGGGTAAAGTTATATATATAGTAAACTGAACTAAATATATATCCCGTCCGGTAGAGCTTTGAAAATGTACTTTCTATTCTCTGTAATTCTCTCTTACTTCCTCAATAAAAAAAAATCCTTTTAGCCAGAGTTCTCCTTGCACTTTTCTCTATCCTGTTCTTTGTGTTCAGTGTTCATCTAAATCGAGCGTGTACATTGTTGTGCGATCCTAACAACTAGTATCAGAGCTAGGCGAAATTCACCACGATCTATGAAGATGGAAAGTTCAAAGATTGGAATTGAGAAGTTCGATGGATCCGATTTCGATTTCTAGAAGATGCAGATTGAAGATTATCTGTATCATAAAGATCTTCACGAACCTCTGTTGGGGGTGAAGCCGGATACCATGACCACGGAACAGTGGAAGCTCAAGGATCGACAAGCCTTAGGGATGATCCGGTTGACGCTATCCAGAAATGTGGCGTTTAATATTATAAAGGAGAAGTCAACGTCAGATATGTTGAAGGCGCTGTCAAATATGTATGAAAAACCATCGGCTATGAACAAGGTGTATTTGATGCGGAGATTGTTCAATCTACAGATGTCTGAAGGTGGACCTGTTGCTGATCATATAAATGAATTCAAAATGATCATAAGTCAACTGAGTTCGGTGGAAATTAATTTCGAAGATGAAATTAAAGCGTTGATTTTGATGTCATCCTTACCCGAGTCATGGGATACTATTGTTGCCGCAATCAGCAATTCCCGAAGATTTGATAAACTGAAGTTTGGTGAAATTCGAGATGTAGTTCTCAGTGAAAGTATTCGCAAACGGGAAACTGGAGATTCATCAGGCAATGCTCTCAGTGTTGATCGAAGGGGAAGAAGTAAACCGAAGGGCCCAAACAAAGGGCGATCAAAATCAAAGAACGGAGAAAAATCTCCACATTGACCAAACGTAACGTGTTGGAATTGTGGAGAAAAAGGTCACTTTCGGACAGGTTGTGCAAGACCAAAGAGGAAGCATAATCACAAATCTGGAGATGATGATGATTCTATAAATTCAACAGAAGACATTGGGGATGCTCTAATCCTCAGCGTAGACAGTTCGATTGAATCCTGGATTTTGGATTCAGGTGCATCTTTTCATTCGTCTCCAAATAAAGAGTTGTTCCGGAATTTCAAGTCTGAAAATTTCGAGAAGGTGTATCTTGCCGACAACAAAGATTTGGAGATTAAAGGAAAATGAGATGTCTGCATAAAAACTCCGGCAGGAAATCAGTGGACATTAAAGAATGTCAGATATATTCCTGGTCTAAAAAAGAACCTGATCTCTATTGGTCAGTTGGACAGCACAGGTTATGCAACAAAGTTAGGGAAGAGTTTGTGGAAGATTATGAAGGGTGCTACGGTGGTAGACGTGGCTCAAAATCTCAAACCTTATACACCACTGCAGGGTGTATGAACATAACTGTTGTTGCTGAGAGTGCTTCAAATTCAAGTGTACGGCACAATAGACTTGAACATATGAGCGCGAAAGGAATGAAGAGGCTGGCTACGAAAGGAGTTTTAGAAGGTCTGAATCTGTTGATGTGGATCGTTGTGAGAACTACGTTATGAGCAAACAGAAACGAGTTAGCTTCACAAGAACCGCCAGAGATTGAAGAAAGTGTCGTTGGAAATGGAACCATATGTGGAGCAAGGTTCGACGAAGCAAGTAGAAGTTGAGCTTGAGTTGCAGGAAAACTCACTTAGTGATGTTGTAGCAGATACTCATGAAACTTCTGAGACTATTACAGAGGAACCAGATGTGGAGTAAGGTTCGAAGACCACGAAACAAGTGGGAGTTGAGCTTGAGTTGTAGGGAAACTCACCTAGTGATGTTGTAGCAGATACTCAAGAAACTCCTGAGACTACTGCTAAGGAACCAGATGTGAAGCAAGGTTCCAAGACAACAAAGCAAGTGGGAGTTGAGGTTGGGTTGCAGAAAAAATCACCAAGTGATCTTGTAGCAAATACTCAACAAACTCCTCAGGTTGTTGCAGAGGAACCAGTAGTAGAGCAAGTGGTACCTGAACCGGTGTTGAGAAGATCATCCTGTACTATCAGAGTACCAGATATATATGTACCTTCATTACACTATCTGTTGCTGATGAAAGGGAACCACAACCCTTTGATGAGGCCCTACAGTTGGAGGATACAACCAAGTAGGAGCAAGCCATGGATGATGGGACGGCTAAGCTTCAAAAATGCGTTGTACTGAGATTGAGTACGTGGCAATAGTTGAAGCTAGAAAGAAGACAATATGGATGACAGACTATCTGGAAGAATGGGCAAGAAGTAGCATGAAGATATTCTTTACAGAGATAGTCAGAGTGTCATACAGTTGGCGAAGGAACCCGATCTATCATTTAAAGAAAAAACACAGAAGATAATACCATTTCACTTGCAGGTTAGTGAAAGATGGTGATGTGTTTGGAGAAGATAGAGGGTGCAAAGAATCCAGCAAACATGTTGACAAAATGTGTTGATGTTGGAATATTGAGGTTGTGCAAAGCCTCAATTGATATGGTGCCATGAAGACCATGAAGATGCTCATGGTCGTTTGAGAATGAAATTCTTGGTTGACTAGATCAGTCTCCAAGTGGGAGAATTGTTAGGTTATGGAGCCTGCTGCTTATTTATAGCTTGGTCAACGATTATATTTGGTAAAGCTATATATGGTAAATAGCTATATATAGTAAATGGTTAAATCGAGTAAAGTTATATATATAGTAGATGGTTAAATCTGGTAAAACTGAACTATATATATATATCTGGTTCGTTAGAGCTTTGAAAATGTACTCTCTATTCTCTATAATTCTCTCTTACTTTACATACATGAAGTCATTAATAAAAAATAAAAATAAAAAATCCTTTTAGCCAGAGTTCTCCTTGCACTTTTCTCTATCTTATTCTTTGTATTCGTCTAGATCGAGCGTGTGCATTGTTGTGCGATCCTAACACAAACTACCACTTATAGAGTTTGAAAATTTGTCTAGGTTTAGGGTTTAGGGTTCAATAACTTAGGCGGTCAGAAAGAATTAAAAGTCACATCCAAAGTTTATCAACACAGCTATCAGAGAAGACGAAGTTAAATAG